CTCTTGATGTCTTATTTATTATATCGGTGTGATCCTTCTAATATTTCATTTTTGCGATGAGCTCTCTGGCTGCATTTCGTCAGTTGTCGAAGTGTCTTCCTTGTGTTAACACAATGGGTCATAACGCTAATTTTAATCGTGCTCCGCCAATTTTTAATGACGATGCCGCGGCGGAAGCCTCGTCTGGTGACGAAGGCTTCGATATTGAAGTCGACGATAGTGACGTCGATGAATTTATGGACCATCCCGACGCCCAGGCCCATTTCCGTCGTGTGCGCGAGTGGTTGATGATCGTCAATCACTTCTATAGTAATGGTGTGTTCCATGTGTGTGGCGATTGTATATGGTTCGTCACCAATGAGGCTCCCGGCAGGGTTTTCGAACTACCCTGGTCCGTGGAGCTTTATGAGCTTCTTGTCTCAATGCCCGACGCTGTATTTGCCGATGTGGTGATGGAGGACGAGGAGGTGGAGGGCGAGGAGATGGAAGACCCGGACGATCCCGTCGAGGTAGCCACTCTAGACGAGCTTGCTATTGGGGATGACCCCGCGGCCAACCCCGCGCAGGCGAGAGACCACGCTCCTGGGGCCTAATTTTTTGTGTTTTTATAGTTATAGTTTATAGTGTAGTATTTTATTGTGTAGTGTTGTAGTGTAGTACTGTAGTATAGTACTGTAGTGTAACTCTGGATATTGGATTATTTTCCGGACCTGCTTCTTCTCCGGTGAGTCCCAATGTTTTTGTTTTTATTTTCCTATTATTTTTCTTATATTATTTTGTATTGTGTGCTTTTTCTTTTAATTTTCAACGAACGGTTTAATTCGGTTCGCGTGCACATTTATCGTTCGGCGGCCCATTTTTATTTTATAATTTAAATCGCTTAATTTTTCTAGAATTGTGTAGGGTCCGATCCATAACGCGTCTAGCTTTTTTGATCTCCCTCGCCGAACTGTTTCGTCGTGTAGTAGGACTTTATCTCCTATTTCGAACGTGCGTATTTTTGTTTTTCTGTCGTATGTTTCCTTCGCTTTTTGTTTTTCTTCTTTTATATTTTCCTTCGCTATTTGATTCGCGGCTCGTATTCTTTCACGGAGTTCTTGCGCATAATCATCGTATGTATATGATGATTTCGGTGAGCTAGTTAGGACCGTAGGTAGTGGTGCCTGGTGCCCGTATACCAGTTCGAACGGCGTGAATCCCGTAACGGTGTGCGGTGTCGTATTATATGCGAACATCGCATACGGTATCCATTCGTCCCAGTCTGTCTGATCATTATTAATATAATGTCGTAAATATTCGGTTAATGTCCGATGTAATCTTTCGAGTGCTCCGTTTGTTTCTGGATGATAGGCCGTCGTTTGCAATTTGTGTATTTTTAGTAATTTGCACGTATTTTTAAATAATTCGCTTGTAAAGTTTGTTCCTTGGTCGGTTAGTATTTTGTCTGGAATTCCATATTCTAATATAATTTTTGTGACAAATTCTTTCGCTACTGTTGTCGCCTCTTGATTTTGTATTGGTATTCCTTTGCTAAATTTTGTTAAACTGTCCTGGAATGTCAATACATATTTGTTTTCCATCATTGTTATAGGCAAAGGTCCTACAATATCTAACGCGCATTTCTCAAATGGTTTTGTTGGCGTATCTGTTATCATTAATGGTGCTTTAGCGCGTCG